AACAAAGAGCTTTCCAAAGTCTTTGTTACTGCTTGTAATACAGCTGGTGATGTAGGTTGGTCCTCATGAAACTGTCAAGAGGACCAGGATGTATCCTATTTCTTACTATGTGACTTTAATGTTAGAGTTGCTCAATAAACCTCATTTGAATGAGGAATTTAAAGGTGTTCTGGACCTAGGAGTATATAGATTTTGGCTTTCTCAATTTAAATTTTCACTTTTGTGATCATAGTAAATTTTTAGATGCATAAGGCCCTTTATCCTGCAAAGAACTATACCTCAGCTGCCTGTCCTCAGTTAGGCTCATACTCTGGGTCTCAGGGACCTACTGAGGAGGTGCCCTGGCCATGCTGTTCAGCTGCCCACTCACACTTCATACCATTACTGTGTCACCATGAACTTATGGTCTGACAGGCTACCAGACCCTGCAATGATGGTACATTCTGTTGAGTTTCCTTTTCTCTGGGGGGTATTCAGCATTATGATCCATGGTTTGGATTTGCAGGAAACAATTTCTAGAGTAGGAAATCTATCTTTTTCGAAAACAACAGAGTCTGGCAAGGTGGCTTATGCCTGTACTCAAAACTGTAGACATGTTGTGCATTGAATGTTGTGCATTGTAGTGTTCCCTGTTTATCTGGCCAACAATTTCTATGTGCATTGACTGCTGTGTGCCTTCTATCCAGAGCACTTGGAAAAACCCTTAATTTATGTATTGATATTCCTTCTTAAATATGTGGTTCTCGATATCCCTCTTCCCCTCAACTCTCTTTGTTTCTCATTCATAACCTGAAGGTGAGACTATCTGGCCTCAAGTGTAACACCACCATATTTACTGTATAATAGTCAAGTAAATCAACTCACTATTTTGAATAGCTATAAGATGAAACCTGTTTTCTTTGCCTTGTCAATGTCATATGTTTTTGTTTGTTTTGTGAGGATAAAACAAAGCAGTAAATGCATAAGCATGTGTTTGCCCTTTACTATGTGTGTCAGGTGCTATATGAGGGCTTGGAGTGCACTGGTGACAGGATGAAGTCCTCATGCCATGACATCTATGTTATAGTTGGAAAGACAGATACTAGATGAGCAAAAGCCAGTAGCCATAGTGCAGTGATTGAGAGCCATGGGGAAGAAGATGCTTTAGATAAGGCTGTGGGGAAAGTCCAGCTCTTCAAGAAAATGCTGCTGAGAAAGTGACACTTGAGGCCAAGCTATTTGAAACAAAGCTTACCATGTATTGAACCACTAATAGAGTTTGCACTTGGTATTATGTCAGTGAACAGTAGCACCCCCCCACGAATCCTTTGTTCCCCAGGAAAAAAACTATAAAATGAGCCACCAATTTCTGGAATCAGAGATTTATAAGACCCTCTGGACTTAAAAAATGTTTGGTTTGGGGGGGGGTGGTTTTTTTGGTTTTTGGTTTGTTTGGGTTTTTTTTTTTTTTTTTTTTGTCTTTTTGAGACAGGGTCTCCCTGTAGTCCCAGCTGACCTGAACTCATTATGTAGACCAGGCTGGTCTTGAACTCACAAGGATCCGCCTGCCTCTGCCTCCCAAGTGCTGGGACTAAAGGCATGCGCCACCACGTATTTTTATTGATTCTTTGAGAGTTTCATGTAATGTATTTTGATCACATTCAGGTTCCCTCCCCTATCTCCACCCTCATGTATCCCCCCCGCCCCGCCATTTCATATCCTCTTCTATTTAAGATCTATCAAGTCTAATTGATGTCCCCAAATGCTCTTGGATATGGGTCCATCCCCTAGAGCCTGATCAACCTACCTGCCTTCACATTCTTAAAGAACACTGACTCCCTCTCCCAGCACCTATCAATTACCAGTAGTTCCTCAGCTAGGCCTGGGGCTTCATGCTCACCTCTCCCTCTCTATGCTGGATTTTCTTAGGAGTTTATTTTTTTTTGAATTTTTATTTTTGTTGAATTTTGGGGGAGAGGGTGTATTGAGACAGGGTCTCCCTGTAGCCCCAGCTTGCCTAGAACTCACTATATAGACCAGGCTATCCTTGATCTCACCTGCCTCTGCCTCTCCAGGGCTGGAATTAAAGGCATGAGCCACTGTGCCCCGGCTCTTTTTTACTTTTTTATGGAAATCTTTTATTGCTTCTTTTTCTCTGTTTCTGATGCATGCTGGTGTAATATAGGTACATGTCATCTGTTGTGGTCTGTGATACCATTTTATTTGTGTGTCTCTCAGTTGTCCCTGATCATGTCTTTTCTACTACTGCTTTGATCTGCTGCCCAAACCTTAAACCCATGGAACTGCTTTCCATTACTGGGCTTTGACCCCATGCTTCTAAGCCTTCCGTAGGTTTCCTGGGCTGCCTCATTTTCTAGCTAACCTACCCATCCTTCCTAACAAAAGTAACTTCTGATAGTCATTACCATAAAATGAATGTTTTCCAAACAGATCTGACTGGAACTGGCTGGCTCAGTGTCCAGCATGTGGTAAACTCTCATTAAATATTTATTGATAAATGACCAAATGAACTGATTCTCTGACTCGTACCCTGTCTAACTCTAGGATTAACGTTACTTTCCACCTTCAGTTATATATACCTATTTGTTTCTCACATACAGATGCATATAAAAATTTACATAGGCTATTAAAATCGTGCCTCTTCTTGGATTCTTTCATTTCTCATCTGTGCTTTCCATTTGCTGTATGTGTAGAACCTTGTCACTAGTCTCAGAGAATTGGCAGTGTCTGCCATTCTTTGTACATTGTTCAGCACAGAACTTCCTGAAAAGCATCCAGTTTGTATGTGAATCTGTTTTGCTAATGCTAATAACAATCAGATTTCAAGCGTTTTGGTTTTTATTTTCAGCATTGTGAACAGTTGAATGCATTCAAACTAAATAGAAACTTTCTAAAGAAAAAAAAATATTTTGTATTTAGTAACAGACAACTTTTACAGATTTTTCATTAACAAATGAAATACACACTATAAACCACAAATTCAAAATATTTCAAAATGTCCAACTTTTGAGTGCCGCACTATCACACTCTAAGTGTCAAGTCCCACACCCCTCACCTCATGTGATGGATCTCACTCAAAACTCAGGTACACTAAAAATACTATGATTATCTTCAGACTAGATATATAAGGTGTATATAAAACAAATGAGTCCATAAGAGATCTTGTTAAAGATTTGCAGATATTCTAACATTCGAAAAATCTTTCCAACACTTTTGGACCCAAGCATTTCAGATAACAATACCCAGCTTGTGTTCACCTTTTTATAAACATAGAGATGTGCTTAAATCATAACTGCCAACTTTTTTCAAGAATTGCATTTTAAGTATTGGTTAGAAATAGTATAAATGATCCTTCAGCTTTGAACATTCTCTATTTTAGTCCCCCAAACTTAAATAGGACTCAAAATGGATAAATAATGCCTTTGAATTTTTTGTTGCTTAGGTTGTATTCTGTAATTCAAGAAATTTTAGGTAATTTGCATTGTAGATTTTATTTAAATGTATGCAGGGTTCTGACCCATGTGAAGGACCCTACTTCAAGACAATAGCTCAATAGTTATGGTTTTGTTGCCCCATGGGGTATAACTGTAAAGTAATGCTACAGACTCGAACAAAGGTACTAGGAGATACAAGTGCAGAGGCTCCTCCCCTAGAAAGGCTGCACACTTGTTCCAGTAAAGCTGCTGTGGCTTAACTATGGTGTGGAATGCCTTGTTTTAATCTTCTCTGTGATGCCAAGAAATCATAAGGAGTAAAAGGAAATGCTTTAAATATCTTAAATTATAGCAAAGGTGAATTTGATTTTGGTAAGAAAGTCCAGGACCAAGTGTAGTGAATAAAATTGGGAGTCATTAATTGGAAGTGAAATAACAATATGAACTTTCTAAAATGATTGTCAAAGAGGAATTCCAGAACTCTGACCTTGGAATGAATATATAAGTTCCCAAGGTTGCTACTCTGAAACATAGTGTTTGTGTAGGTGGAAAAAAAACAATGAGTTTATGTTTGCAAAATAAGATCAGTTTTATTACTTTATAGACATACTTATAGATGAAAATTATACTCCTATCATGGAACTCTTTATAAGCAAACTTCCGAATGTAAGTAGAATTTCTGTCTCATCCTTTTTAAATCTGTTGAGAATCTGAATTTTTAATAATTTACTGCTTTGAATGTTGAATATTTTTAAAAAGCAGTTGCTGTGCATTTTCACTTTAATTCTTTGGGATTAGCTTTGTTTCCTTTGCTGTTCATTTTTTTATTAGTGCATCTATCTTTGTTCACTCTGAGAGACTCAAAATGTACTTTCTTGTTGAATTATCATCAAGTTGCTGAATCAAAGCAGAAAGGAGTATCCGTGTTCCTGGCTACCATGTGTTCATATTGCTGGGACTCTGATTTGCACTGCTAGTGAACAGATTCCCTCACTTTTTATAAAATGGAACCCTCTTATCTAGGTAAACAAGAACATCAGTTAATTTAGAGAGAAGCCTTAAATTTTCAAACTTTGTGCTAAACAATACTCTCAACTTTGGAGCTCCTGCTATGTTTATCATTCTCACTAATATAAACTTTAAGAAGAGAGTCCTAGAAAACTGCTGGACCATGCTTGTGCACTGTAGAGACCCCAAGCGTGGGGAGGGGAGCTGATGTGTCCTCCTTTACTGGGACTTTGCCAAATTTATTGCACCACATCCAGGTCAGCCAGGCTCCTGTTTCGTTTATGCGCAATTGAATTAAAAGTAAAATGGTGCATGGGAGGCAGAGAAAATTGTTATCCTTTCGTGAAGAGGTGAAGACAGCTCAATTGTGACATAATTTAAACTTCAAATTTGACAAGTTTGATTGGAAAATTATGTGACCTGTGTGGTTAGAGATCAAAATGGTCATCAGTTTACACTTTTAAAAAGTCAGGGAGTGGTGTTTTTATCAGAGACTGATAGAATATTATTTTATTCTGCCTAATAATAACTATTGCACAAATGGCTGTTATTTTGCAGTTTGGTGATTTAAATGCTGTGTCGCCTGGAAATCTGGATAAAGGTAAGAACTAAACATTTTTTAGTTTTTTTTTTTTTTTAAACTGAGATTCTCTGGGTAGAAACAACATATGTGGGAGCCCTAACTGTCCTTAACTCCAGTTCCATGGATCTGATACCCTTTTCTGACCTCCATGGGCATTGCATGATGAGTGCACATATATACATATGTGCAGGCAATACACTCATATACATAAAATAAAATAAAAGTAATAAATAAAATATTTTTAAAAAAAAATACATGTCTTCTAATAAACCAACACCACATTATATATAGACCTTTTATTGCTTGAGTGTTAGGAAGTTATTAATGGCATTCACTTTTCTGGGGAGAACTAAGATCTTCTAACCAGAGCCCCTGGGGAAACTGAGGCAACGAACTTGGATGTCTGCAAAGAGATACAGCACTGTTCCCCAGAGTGTGCTGAGGTTCCAAGTGCTCACCTCCCATGCCTCGTAGGCGGCGTCAGTGTGCTGGGAAAGCCGCAGGTGCATCGCATCGCTCAGGAAGCAGTCCTAGCTAGCAAGTTGCTGTTTACCACTGTACTTGGCCTAATTCCCGTTTTAGTACCAAAGCAAGAAAATTAGAAAAATTATACTCCCCTGAACATGTTGTTGCTTCAAATATGCAACCTATAGAATACCACAAATAACTCACAGGAATATAAGTAGGTGATGAATGTCTGCCACCTTCTTCACAAAGTGCTGAATCAAAGTCTTTGGTAGGCTCCAACAGTACCTAAATTGTAGTATTTGTTTGTCAAATGTCCATAACCTCGAATGGGTTCCCAGAAAGGCTTTGGGACTTTTAGGAGCGTACATGTCTTCAGAACTACACGATTGTCCAGAGGAACTGGAGAAAGAGCTTGCAGATTGTTTCGTTGCCTGTTGTCAGGAGCCCTGTCACCAGAAGACCACAGACCCAAGTCAGATGGTTCTGGAATCCTTAAGTTTGTCCAACCCATTTTCTCGCGCCTGCTCCCAGCTTCGGCAAGATGGAGAAAGGGACCTTTCGCGTCACTCGTTCCATCCTCTGCCTGCCTGCAGATGTGCGTTTTCCTCCCAGTACTGCTCCTTTATGACTTTCAAGGTCTACAAATAGTACAAGTTTGGGTTTTTGGGTGGTGGGGCTTTTTTCCACAAAACAAGAATTTTTCCTCCAACAATAAAAGTAATATTGGCCCTGTTTAAAATTTTCAAAAACTGCAGAGAATTAGATTTGACTGATCTGTGCTGTATTCATGTACGAAAATATCATACCTAACTCTATTAAGATAATGTGTGGTAATAATTAAAAAAAGAAAAAGAAAAGAACTAGGAGCTGATATACTGACCCACAGCCCTGAGGGACTTCCACCCTTAGGCATTTTTGTCCTCAGCTTCCTGACAGCTGACATGCATTTGTGTGAGGGTTTATGAATTGACAGCTGCATGTCATTTATAAACCCTGTTGATGAAGCAGATGACTTCCAAATGAATACACCTTTGTCCTTCCAATGTGCTTGAGCTGATGCACCCTAATGTTACCAAGTTCACTTTCCAGAGGCAAAACTAGATGAAGATATGCCAAGGTGCTTGCCTAAGAGCATTTCATTACTGAATAATGCTTTAGAAACACATTTCTAGTGCATGCATGTTAGTCTCATCCTCGGCAGTCACATGCACCATTATTCAGACCTCACTCCTAAATGTGGAGGCCCTTTTGCCCCTCAGTTATTTTCTCTGGGACCTATCTTTGCCTCCAACTGATACTGAGAGAAGAACGGTCAAGGAGCCCATCTATATGAAGAGACTCCTGTGCGATGTCCCCAGGTGGGCATGAACACTGCTTAGAAGAAGTCTAGTATAGTCTGATGAAGAGGTGCTTGATATCAGTTCCCTTCACACAATACTCCACAGAACAGAACAGAATGGAGAGCAGACACTGGCCAGATAAGCCCTAGAGTAAGTTTAAAATCTAATAGGAGCTAATTAAAATATTTTAGTTTTATTTGTAGGTACAGTGTTTGAGGTGATTATATGCACATCTTTTGTAGCTGAAGTAAAAAGGGTTTGTGAAACAGGAATATATTCTCCTCAGTTTAGAAGTCATCACTGTGAAGACTCACCCTTGTACACTGGTCTGCAGAGAATCTTACACAGCACTAAAGGTATATATGATATATATGAGCATCTCCACTCTGCTGTACTTTTGAATTTTAACAATACAGTTTGCTAGTTTGTAGAACAGCCCCTGCTTACACTACAGTCATCTTTGCTATGTTTGAAAGAATTGTGAATGCCTCATTCCATCCATCATTTTAGCCATAAAATCCCACAAGAGGAAAACCTACAAGTTTCATCCTCTGAGAAAAGCAAAGAAATGGGTTTCTTAGTGACTTGTACTAAAGTCTCTGAAGCACGCATTGATGGCTGTTTTCTTTTTATCTGTCCAGATGAAGGCAGTGAAGTGGAAAGTGAAATGGATGAAGAGCTGGATGACTCTTCAGAGCCTCAAGCCAAAAGAGAGAAAACAGAGCTGAGCCAGGCGTTCCCGGTGGGCTGCATGCAGCCTGTCCTGGAGAGTGGCGTGCAACCAAGCCTGCTGAACCCCATCCACAGCGAGCACATCGTCACCAGTACTCAGACCATCAGGCAGTGCAGTGCCACAGGAAACACCTACACTGCAGTCTAACAATATGAAAACAGATCTTTCCAGCTTACTTTAACCCTGTTGATACTGGGCTTAAGCTGAAATTTTAACAGGCCTGAAGGTTGACTGTTGTCAAATTCTATCTGTGCTGAACATTACCTTTTCAGAGTTGTGAAATGGAATGGGTGTATGTATTTTTCCAGGTCTTTTTTTTTTTTTTAACACAAATTGTTTGCCTTTTAATAATAAGAGTTTTTGGCCGTTAGTTTCAGGTGTCAAGAAGGATTTTTACAACACTTAATGTCAATGTTTTTGTTTTCTCATAATTAAAAAGTAATTTACATTTTGTAGCTTAAAATATTTTATTGTTGATTGTTAGTCTTGGTGTATGATTTTATGTGTAAGTTTTAAATTAGATGCACTTCTGTGAAATATCAAAAGAAATGAATTTCTTTGATTTACACTGGAGGCATGCCCGTTTGGCAGCAGATGCATCCAATTTGCTTTTGAAAGGTGCTTTTCATTGGACAGAACTATAAGACACTATTTTGATAAAATTTTGAGTACGGAGAGAATACAGAGCATTTTTATTATAGTGCAAGAGGGTTGGGAAGGTCATCTATTTTTCTCTGAAGAAAAATTGAGCTGTGCATTTATCAGTCCAGGGTAAATGACAGAACTGCAAGAGATTATGCTAATATGTACATAATTGTGTACATAATTCTTAAACCACGTTAACAATGCAAGCTTCCGTTAGACATTGACTTGTTACTATTATTTGCATACCAATTCCTCTGTTTAAAGACTACTGATTCTGTATTGGGACCACTGCACAGATGCATTCTGCTATTAAGTGGGGCTGTTGTAGTTAGATACTGAAGCTGAAGAAAAATGACTTGACTTTTTTTTTAAGTGTACATGCTACTTATACTGAGCTGGACATACAGGAAACCATTCCATTTGGATGACTTTCTTTTATTCCAGGTCTTTTTTTCTAATAGTAGTTCACTATGCTGCTATTATAAAAGAAAATTTATAGAATGCAAGGAATGTAGCAACCTGCATATTGTTATTTCCTTCAAAACTATTTCCTGGTTTCTAAAGTACGTGGATTTAAATTTTAAACAGAACCTGAAGGCAGTGTAACTGGCACACCTCACTGTTGCTTACCCCAATTCTGTAGGATTTGGATAGGTGGCTGGATGGACCATTGCCATTGAAGAATGTACATCAGGGATCATCGTACCTCGGCTATTACATGGTGCCTTAAAACAGAACTGAAGCTAAGGTTTAGTACGGTTTATTTTGTTCATGTGAATAACTCTTCAATCCATTTGATAAAGTGTGCCTGTCATGTTCAGATTCCTGAAGTAAGGACAGGTTACATGTTCTTCAAGGGAAATTTAGGGGAAATGAAGCAAAACAAAAAGACAAAAAACCAGTTTCTCTCTTTGAGTGACCATGAACCTATCTATGTTTTATCCTTAGAGCTGAATATTACTTGATTACAAATCAAATTGCTTAAGGGTGTGGGATAACAGGCTAGTTTTAATACCAACGTGTTACATAAAAATCGTATGTTTTAGACCATTCTTATCTAGTTACAATTCTAGAAAGTTAACAGAATAAGCAGGTACTTATTGAAGTGCATCTTTTCAGTCTAAATGTCTGTTCATCTGTCTGGGTGTCTATATGTTCATACACACACACACACACACGTGCCCATGGAGCAGGAGTCTGCTCAGGTCAGAAGGTCCTAGAGAGCACAGACCCATCCCATTTTAATTTGCATGAAAATCCAAGGTTCTTTTAAGCACTCAAACTATTTTTTAAAGATCATCATTTGATTTAAATAGTTACAAAAGAAGTCAGCAAAAGTCAATAAATAACTAAATCAATAAAGCCAAAAATAAGAGGATAGGAAAGCACGAAGTGATTTCTAGATCACTGATAAGGCCTACATTAAACTCAAGATGTTATCTTGCCAGTTGGGTTGGATGAAGGGTAGGGGCTTGAGAAGAAAAGGCTGAGCCAATCTGGAAAGTTAAAAATACCAAATGGCTTATTAGGTAACACAGTATATTTAAACTGATTGACTCAGTCTTCTGAAGAGCAACAACATTTAAGTAAAATTTAAATGTTTTCAATATAATTTCAATAGATTACATTTTGTATTGTGCAACATACTCACATGGGAGTCTTCACGAGCACCCTGGCATCATTTCATTTGCTAAATATCACTGAAAGGGTCATCCCCATTTTTCCCTCAAGAGGCAATGAATTTGCATCTTCCCCATAGCAGAAATCCAGCATAAACTATAAAAGACAATGTATCGACTTCATTGTGCATTAGGAAATGTTTACATAAAGTTAAAATCTTAAAAAAGAAAAGGCACTCTTCATTTTGGCTCTCCCTTCTGAAGTTTTTCAGCTTCTTGTCTTTACCTGTCATCCTAAGAACAATGATCACATGTGCATTGGTCCAAATGTATTTACTGGTTTCATCTTGTTTATTGGTTGATTTTTGAATATATCTGTATCATTGTTTCACTTAATGTTGGAGAGATTTATATCATTAGAGGAATCTGATAATAATTGGAAAATTTAGACTCTTGAGAGTTAGGGACTTAGCAGCCCTCCAGAATTCAACATTTCTTCCAATTGTTCGTGGTTTGTTCTAAATTAGGACAGAGCAGAAATTAACAAACATCATTAAGTTTGAACTTGACTCTAAAATATTCTGAAATCTTTTAGAAATATTTAGGAATATTAATGCTTTGTGATCAATGTAGATAATTTGGACTGATCCACAATAGAATACCTATGGTTTATGCTGCTTCCAGTTCTCTGTGGTCCACACTAGGACATATTCTTACACTCATGCACACATCAGTTTTGAATTTAAATTGTGATATACACTACAAACAAGACAGTAATTTATATGCGGGCATAAATTGGAACAATCACATTTGTTGTAGTTATTGAACACTTTTATATTCATTGAAATTGGCTTTTCTAAGTAATATGAGCCAGTGATACTCTCATAGTAGGTTTGTTGACATAAATACACATTTTAGGAACTTACTGGTATTTCTTGGCATCATAATCAAACACTGGTCATGAAATACATGTGCATAAACCAAATGCTGCACTTCCACTGAAGAAGAAAGTGGGGTAATATTAGCTATTTTTAAGTTTCAAGAGATATTTCCATATAATATGATTGTCATAGGTATAGTTTGATATTGGCATATACTTTGAGAATCATCCCCAAAAGATTTGCGCTTCCAAAACCAGTGAACAATGGGTGGAATGGGTGACCATCTCCTGGGAGCATAGGTCCCAGTTTTCAGTTTTTCCTTTGGATATCAAGTTGCTAATAACTTCAGGATTCTCATCCAAACCATGTTTGGATCAACTGTATGAGACTTAACTGCCTTTTCAGAAATCTGCTTTCCTGTTTGTGATTTTTCTTGTACTGTATAGCACGGTTCATGCACCTCTCTTTAGATGGTGTACTTTAAAAACAGAAGTAAAATACAAAACTGATTTTATCACTGCATACCTAAAATTAAGAGTGTGCAACATTAACTGCCTTTGATTCATAGTAGACAAGTAAAGCTGAACATGTTTTATAGAATGCTGTAAAAGTCATTCAGGAATGAACACAACCTTAATGCCGCGATCACGAACCTTTCTACATGAGTGCACTAACAAGAAGTGCTAAATGCATTTTCAGTTTTTGAAAACTTATTCAGATGGTATATTTGAAATGTCTAAAATAATGCTGTGCTTGAAACATTAGTGTAAAAGAAAAACAAGTGTGTCACTGTGATGTTGGTCCCCCTTGTGTGGACAGAAGTAGAAAGTCAAAAACTTGGCAAGTCATGTTTGTATAAAATGAAAGGCAGTGCTTATATACAACAAATTGACTTTGTCAACACCCCCCCCCCAATTCTTTTGAGAAATATAACAACCACCCAGAAACTGAAATCAGAGCTCTTCTGATCTGTATGAATTGCACCAGCACATGGGGGAAGAGGGTTGGCACGCAGTGCTTCTGAACATTGGACTGTGGCTGGATCAGAGCAACCTCCATGTACATGGTAGAAGAACAGACCAATTAACAGAACCCTAGTATTTCTGCAAGTTTGATGATTCTAAAAAACTGGAATCGAAGCATTAATTCAGTGCTTAGTTCTAGTATTAGAAACCCCTTTGATGTAATGCCTTGTATTAACCCTTTGAGCATTGTAAGATATACAATGGGGGATAAAAGCCTTTCAGATCATTTATTTAGACTTAGACCGGTAAAATATACTCTATATCCAAATGTCTAATTATGCTGTTTTTTTTAAAGAGGGGGGGTCAGAAGAGAAAGTGTTTCCATGCTGAACACTTGGATTTTATATTCAACTCTTAATTTTCCTTCAAGAGGGCTTGATATATTTATTCCCAAATATTCACTGCCATCTAAGTAAGTGTACTGTTTACAGAAAAAAAAAAAAAAAAAAAACTCAACTTTTCTAGCATCACATCATGACTCTCTAGAAAAGGAGGACGAGCACATGGGCCTGTGTAGACCTATGTCATAACTGATTTTTCTGCACACTGAAGGTACCTAGATTGCCTTTAAAAGGTATAATAAAAGAAAGGGTTACATTTCTTCTTTTTCCCTAAAATGAAAAATCTCATTTATTTAGCTTTAGAAAGTACAAGTGTAAGCAAAGCCTTAGGAAGAAATGAGTTCCAGTGGACACGGCTGAGCTCTGGGGGCAGTTAGGCTATTTGGAGTTGCATTGCTCATAAAACATGTTGTTTGGGAATTCATACAGGGCATAATTTTATCTATGCTCCAAAACGTTAACACTTTGTCATGAAATACATGTAGAGATAGAGTGGAGCACAGAGCACTTGATTTTAAGCTCATCTGTCAAGAGATGCTGTGACTACTGCTTCGGATATCTCTAGATGTCAGTCTGCTTACACCAATGATGATTTCATTCGAGGGAACCTTCGTGTCCTTGATCCCTTCATCCCCTGCGTGATGGAACACAAGAGCAGTGTTGTCTGCAGTTGTGCTTGCGCTGCCCTAGCTGGGGGCAAACAGGAGTGTAACCTATTTGATGTCTGCTCCTAGGACATCCATAACATAGTGCAAGTATCCTGTAATGTTGCTTTTTAGGCAGGTTAGGAAGTCAGACCATGCAAATTACTCATGTGTTAACACGCAATACTCAAAGGGTTTTAATTTAGCTCTCTTCTTTTGAATTCTTCATGATGATTTACTGTAAATGCTTCTCAGTTTGCATGCCTTGACCATTGCTGCTAGTGATTTTATGTGCCAGTAGACCTGAGTTTAGTTTACCAATTTTACTTAAATAGTAAAAGCCACTTACAAAGTGACTGCCTAGAATTGTTGTGGGGTTTTTTGTTTGTTTGTTTGTTTGTTTTTTCCTTTTGTTTAAAGTAACTGGTAATATGTCTTTTAAAAGAAGTGTTCTGTCCCTTATTTGGTTCTGGTATTTGATTCTTTTCCCCCTCTTTCCTTTGTTTTTGTTTTTTTAAGTAAAGTATGATGTTGGGATTGGAAGCCCTGAGTAATGAAATATTTGGTAAGAATTGTTTATGTCGCTTAGTAATGATGATGACAAATCTCTGCGAGAAGAAGTTTGATTCTGGCAAGGAAAGCAAAAATAAAACTGGTTGACTGCTGATGACCAAGTAAATTTTCCTTGAATAAATTAGCATTTCTGACCAAGTGATTGCCTTGCTTTAGCTTACCACACACAATTTTAAATGACCCAATGAAGGAGGTCTCGAATTGTATTCGTTTGAAAAGCATCTTTTGTACCAAAGCAAATTCTTTTCTCTGCTCATCTCCATCATCGATTTGGACCTATGGTGACGACCAGTGAGTTGGTTCCAGAAACTTTAAGTGAGTGCCTTGAGAACACTTGGAAATTTGTGCCTGGGGTGGTAAACTTTTAATTAGGTTAATTGTAGTGCTCACCAACCAGTAACTCCACTATCACTCAGGGCTTTCGTATCTTCTAGGTAAAACTTCTTTCATTGTGTTTTTTTTAAATACTGTATTTTTTTTTTAAGTGCCATCAGTTAAACTTCACTTAGTAAGTGGCAGATTACATTATTCAGTCCCACAAGCACAGAAACATAGTAACACTAGGAGATATTTGAACATTTATTTTACAATCGACTGAATATATTATGTAAATGAGGTTAGCAACTTTTGTAGAGATTGTATGTGTGAGATAATGTAATGTTCTTTTCCAGTTTTTGGACTACAGTTGAATAAACTTTTTAATTATTTAAAAACATCTTTACCGAATAACATGTGATGGTTTTGTATAATGTATTTGATTTTGTAAATACGTATTTCCTGATGTGATTTCTGTGAGAAACGCTAAATCTTTTAGTATATCATGTCCTCTCAAAATTGGCAGGAGCTAAATAATAGTTTGTGGGCGATTTGTATTGTGTACTGTACAATAACTGGGGAACTTTTATAATTATAAAAATATATATTAACTTTTAGTGTGTTGTTTAAACAAATGACTGGAACATACTAAAGATATTAGTAGGATTTTTCTGAATATTTCAGACTTGAACTCAGGCTAGCTTTCTTGTGTTTTTCAAAACAAAATGGTGTCTTGTCTTTTAAAAATCAATAAATTTGTTTCCTTGTTACAACCATTTGAAATGGCTTTTTTCCCCCCAGATCATCTCCAAGAAGCTTATGTCACACTTATGTCACACTGCCTCCTCTAGAGGGTTCTCTCTTGTGTCACTCAGTAGCTTAGAAACAAAATTAAGTTGTTTTCCTTCTGTGTGTCAGATGAAATTGGCAATATTTACACATGAACAGCACAAAAAGAGAAAACAAAATTATAAGCCCAGCGGGGTACAAATCTTACCCTCAAAGAAAATTAGTGATTGAGCGCTTTTTAATTTCAGACACTGTCAGTGTTTCCATTGTAAATCCAGATTTCTTGATGTTCATAATGTGTTTGTTTTATGTCATTTCACATTGATATTTGGCACCCAAGTTCCTTAAGTTGAAATAGCTTATTAAAATTCATTTTAATACGCTTAAGAAGATACAGTGCCCAGTTTTTTCTTCTTGGATGTATACAGAAGAATTTACTTGATGTACATTCCTGTGAGTACTAAATGAAAATAGTCAGGTATCCACTCCCACTCCCACAAATGTTAAAATTACTTTTTAAGTTTACCTTCTGACATTTAGTTTTTTCAGATCATAGTGTCTTCCAGGGTATGGAATAGCCCAACTTTTAGGATTTCTTTAAAAGAGGAAAACACCGTGAAGCATAGGATATCATTTTGGGACTCTCCAGCCTGGTACTTCAGAATGCGGCAGTCATTTCTAAATGTAAAACATCAGTGTCCCAAGCCACAGCTTATCTAGATCTTTCATCTGTGTGTAAGAGGGGAAAGTGTGTGCTGCTTCATACTTGTGACAATGAGCATGCACGTGCCAGCTGTCAATCCTAGCCTTCCACTTTGAGGCAGAGTCTCTCGTTTGCCAACTGTGTATGCCAAGTTAGCTGGTCCACAAGCTTCCAAGAATGCTCCTGCTTCCACTCCCATCTTACTATTAACAACACTGGGATTACAGATGTGCAAGCTGCTGCTTCTGGCTTTACAGGGCTTCCGGGTATTTGAACTTAGGTCCTTAATATTTGCAAGATAAACACTTTACCCACTGAGCCATCTCCCCAGTCCCTATTTAGATATTTAACCAGTAACTTAGAAATATATACAAATAGTTATTCAATAAAGAAAAGCAAAATTAGCTAACAGAGAGAGTGTAGACTAAAAAGGAAATAAATCTGACCTATTTAGTGTTTTTATATTGTAGCCATTTCCCCTTTGTGAGATAGTTGGAACTTTCCTACAAAAAAGTTAAGTAAATATTTCCTGGTTTGTATTTGATTTCTCTTGAACTTTTGAGGTCTTTTAAATACTTTGCAGCTTACTTAATAGTTATACTAGTCTTCCTACCATAGGTTCTTAAGCTTATTTTCGTCTGCTTTAGAACTAAGACATATCAATATTTGAAACCCAATTTGCTACCAGAGAAATAAAAAATTTCATTAGCTAATTCAGTTCAGTACGCCAATTCCTTTCTTTCATTGTGGTCTAAAAGCAGTGTGATTATCTTTTCTTCTCTGAAAAGAAATAGAGTTTCCTAAGCCCATAGAGTTTACATAGAATAACATCCCATTATTAGTAATCATAATCACCTTGAAGGACACAAACATTGAAGAGTATGGAGGAGGCTCTAAAGCAGATGCAGAGATGGAGGAGCCTTAGAGCATCTCCCCACTTTGTGTGCACACTCACTGCTCCACCAAAAAGTTTCACAGCACTTGTTACATATTTAAAAGCATATGTAACCAAAAAATGAATGGTTCTGGAATGTCACCACTAAAATTTAAACTTAATTCAAAATTATAATATGACAGATATATAAATAGCATGTTAGTGATTAGTGGCAGCATATTGGCTCTCATCAACTGGATGGTAAACCACAAGCGTTTCAGAATCTTTAGACTATACATCATTGAATTTAAAACATGGTGGAACTTCCCAACTCTGAAAACATTTGCTGTTAGTTTTGATGTTTAGTTTGAAATGGTATTTGTGAGAATGCCTTTCCAATCAAGGTGGCAAAACCATTAATAGCGTCTGAAGAATGAACTGATGTTAAAATTACCAGGGGTAATTCCTTATTTAGACCTGAAGTCCTGCATGATAATAGGTGGTATACTGATGTAGGAATTAGAAGATCTTAAAGGGCTATTTGCAAGAATGTATTGAGTTAAAGAAATTCTTTTCTATGATGAAATGCATCTGTCATTCTGTTCAATCCCAGCATTCAAGGGGCGGAGGTAGGCCCCTGTGAGATTGAGGCCAGCCTGGTCTACATAGCAAGTTCGAGGCCAACTGGGGCCACAGAGAAACCCTGTATCAAAAACATACACAAAAGGAAAAATTGAAGTCATCTTGCTTTCTCCTGGTTTGTTCTACAACTCAAGCGTGTATTGTCTTTAGCACTAAGGTCTTACTGTCAAGTTCTGGAGTGTAACCAAGTGCGGTGATAATAGCTAGTGTTGTTTGAGGGTCTACAGGATCCCTCTAGTCAACAACTCCAAAAGAGGGAGTCTTGTTTCTGGCACTGGGCTTTTCATTTACTAGCCTGTGGTGTATACTGATATGTATATACTGAAGAAAAGCCTCTATAGCAGGTTTCCTTAAGACTATGTCAAAAGGCCTTTAGTATTAGTGATCCCTCTTCTTACTCTCTCTTCTGCTCTACCCTTCCATTACCCACCCCATTTAACCAGTCCTATCCATTCTCTTTTCCCATTTGTATCTACATTCCATCTCCCTTCCCATGATTCACTTCTCCTCCCCTGGCCCCTTACTAGTTCCTGATCTCTAAGGATTCTCCAGTTGAAACACACCTATCTAAAGATTCAAAGCT